AAAAAAAAAAAAAAAAAAAAAATGCAAGGGATATAGCAAATTAGCTTACCACCTCCTTCAAATCAAAGTGAGAATCTCTTGGAAGAACTTAAGCACCATTAACAGACACATCTTATGGCAGTTCATGCAATGCTTTGTATTTCCGTGGAAAACTATTTCAATGGTGAATATGACGTAGGAATCAGAAGCATATTTTGCTGAGACACTAGGTAATTGACACTTTCCCGAACTGAAAAAAAAAGTCATAAGAAGGTATATAAAGTTGTTGACTAAATGAAATTTGTTCTAAGAATAACTCGTACCTAGTGAAATAGCTTACCAGCTGCCACAACTCTGGGATCCTCATGAGACTGGTGTCTCCCAGCTGCTCGGCTATCCGCACTCTCGTTCCACCAAAGAACATGAACTGCAGAAATAAATAAACCAGAAATAGATTGTAAAGACTGTGGCATTACTCAAATAAGAAAGACAGAAATATTAATCAGAAACTAAAAGTCCTGTTCTTTAAATCAAAATAGTGATTATCAAAAAGGTAGCACTAAGTATGTTAGTGATAAGATTTCAAAGGAGTCAAAGATTTGGGAGAGAAATTTATAAATTAATTAGTCAAACTGGTTTTATAGAAGAAGAAAAAGAAGGATTTTACTTTATTTTGAAAAAGCAAGATTATAAAAAAATTATGCTCACTACTGAATATTTGGCTGATGCAAAGAAGAAAACTGAAAGTAGCTGAAACTTAACCACCCAGAGAAAACCTTTATTAATATTTATTGTATTTCTTTTAAAAGATGAAAAATATAAAATTAGGGTCTCATTGTATATTATACTTTGTAAATGATTTTAAAAAGTCAACAATGAGAAGTTTCTGTGACAATGCTATTAATCTTCAGCATGTGAATTCTGCCCCAGAGATGTAACAACTTTTTATACCAGCCCCTTATTGTTGATTATTTATATCATTCAAAATAGTGTGGTATTCTGCAAAATACTGAAATAAATGTTCTTTTACTTAAATTATTAAAAAAATTTAAAAATAATTACAGTGTAATACATGTTGGCTGTATAGATTTTGGAAAATGCAAATAAATAAAAAGAGAAAGCAGGAATAGTTTCTAATCCTACCACCCAGAATTCACCACTTTGCTATTTTGGTTTATCTTTTCTATATTTATGTATATATGTATGTATTTTTATATTTTTATGTATTTACAGACACACAGCATATATGTTTATGCTTATATGAGACGCGTGACGTATATGATGTGTATGTGTGTCTGTTTGTGTATTACAAGTATATTATATACATAGGGTCATACTACATTGTTTCTAAAGTTCCCTTATCATAAACAATGCTGACAAGAACTTCCTTAGAGCAGCACCTATCATGTATATTTATAAATATAACAATGTCAAAGACAAATCACTACTTACATTTATTGGGTGCTTCCTATGTGCTAGGCCTGGCTCTAAGCGTTTTGCATGTATTAACTCATTTAGTCTTCATAAGAATCCTAGGTGGTAGGTTATGATTATCATCATTTTATCAATGAGCAATGTAAGGCACAGAAAGGTTAAGTAACTCACTCCAAGTCACAAAGTTAGTAAGCGGTGGAGCTGGGATTCAAACCCAGGCAGTCTGGATCTCATTATTTCCTCAGTGTAAACTCCTAAAATTAAAATTGAGAGAACCAAAGGGAATATCTTATATAGGTACAGTGTACATACTATTAAGTTGTCCAGAAACGATGCACTGATTTATACTCAGCATATTACTATTCCCTTTTCTCCACTGAGAATGAATTTAAGATTAAAAAGTGTGCCTACTCATTTTCAGTTTTTTCTTATAAAAGTTATATATGTTCATTATAAAAATTAAAATACCACTTAAAAATTATTTTCATCATTCAAGTGACCACTATATATTTTATATTCTTTCAAATTTCCTTCCTGTGTAACTGAACACACCTATACAACTATGCATATTTCCTAGAATATTGGCAAAAATAATTTTAAAATTAAGGCTTTTCATTTATATTGCTGAATTTTGTGGTGGGGAATTATTAAGCCAGTATATGCTACACAGTAGGGGTACTTATTTTTTCCCAGCTTCTCTGGTACTATATCTATATACGTATGTCTTTATTTGGTGAAAATGGCATCTCCTCATAGTCTTAATCTACGTCTTCCTGAATATATGTTTAGTAGTCATCTGTACATCTACCTTTGCATATGTTTTTACATTTCTTTTTGCTTTTGAATTTCATTTCTGGTGTCTTGGGGCATGCAGAAAGATTGAGCCTTTTTATAAAAAATTCATCACTTGATTTTTTTGCCTTCATTGTTTTCATTTGTTTTTCGGTTTAGAAATATAGTTCTCATCCATATTATTTAAAAAAAGCATCTAGGGGGACCTCCCTTGTGGTCCAGTGATAAAGAATTCACCTTCCAATGCAGGGGACGCAGGTTCGATCCCTAGTCGGGGAATTAAGATCCCACATGCTGTGGGGCAACTAAGCCCGAGCACTGCAATGAAGAGCCCGTGTGCCGCAACTAAGACCTGATACAGCCAAAAAAAAAAAAAAAAGCATCTATATTTTATTTTAGTAATTTTATGACTTCTTTTCTTCTATATTAAAATCTATAATCCATTTGAATTTTATTTTAGCATGTGGTATGAGATAGACATCTAATAATTTTCATAATTTTTCTCCTCTTGGTATATTTTCCGGCTTGAAAATATTTTTTTCTGTATATTCGGATTCTTTTCTTAGGGTGTATTACTAGAAGTTAAATTTCTGGGTAAAGATCAGACGCTCAGTTTTGAATATGTTAGGTTTGAGATGTCCACTGGACATTCAAGTAAGGAAGTTGAGGAGGCAGATGGAAATAATGAATTAGCTATTCTTGGTCATTCATCCTTCCAGATGAACTATACATGCATTTTCTAGAGTTTGCCACAAAAAACTCTGTGAAATTCAGATTGCAGTAACTTTCAAATTTAACGTTAAAAGCCTCAAATAGGTGTTTATTAAGTAAAGATATGCGCTATCTATCTGTCTGCCATATGTTACTCTCAGTGGAGTGTTAGGAAGTCATTAATCATGCATATGCATTATTTCTAGCATATATATGAATATGAATATATATGTATACACATATATACATTCACCTACATATATATGAATGACACAGGAATAGAAAGACCAAAATGTTAACAGTATTATCTCTAAGTAGTGGAAAATGGTTTTTTTCCACCTTTGGTCATGGCCATGATATTTAGTCTCTGTAAAAATATGTATTACTTTTTCATTCAGAGACAAACACTGTATCCCAAGTAATATTATTTTTAAAAGTCAATACAAATATAGAGGGAAAAAAAGATGAAGAACAGATTTTTCTTAGGCTCCTTGCAGTTTTTAAATTTTATCATTTTGATGTATCATGGAAAACAGCAGTTCAACATTTGGAAAAGCCTTCATAAGTGGTTAACAACCTAAATAAATATTACGTAAAACAGGCATTTTCAACCCTTAAAATGACAAAAAACCCTAAATATTTGGCAATAAAAAATAAATACATGGCATAATCAAAACCAGTGACAAAATACTGGAGGAACTTAGTAGGTCACCAGTACACTTTAAATTTCATAGAAGAAATGGACAACTGTACCTCTGTTGAGTGCTCCATATTCTGTATGGAAAACTCCAATTAGTTTTGAGTAGCCTAGATCGACATGGGCATTAATTGCTCTTTTAAATGCGTCACCCCACAGAGCTGGCCCACCAGGTTTCATCTGAAAAGTTACCAGCTCGTAGACTCCTGGAATAGGGAGAAAATAAATTATAAAAGATATTCAAGAAATTTCTCATCAGGTTAGCATGGTTCCAGTGGAAGGCTAATCTACATATACAGATTTGGAGGATCAAACATAAAAATGTTTATGTACACATATTTATGATTTCTTTGCATTTCTTGCATTTTTCCTAGCTTTTATATTTAGAAAGTCTCCATGTTTAAGCGTGAGTTATTAAGCTTATCACAGAGAACAAAGAAAAAGGAAGCTATATTAAGCTATTATCAGAACGATTTTTAATCTATGAAATTAGTCATTTAAACAAATATTGAGAATTTATGATAGGATTAGGATTTTTGAGCTGCCTGAGTCTAATTCTAGGTAAGAAATGAATAAGAAAAGTATTTTCTGATCTCATATATTTCCTTCTTTCCAATTCTGAGAGGAAACACTTTTTTGTTTGTATAATTTCCCCCTACAGGTTTCCATTTCTAACAGGAACAGCCAGCCAACAAAGGACCCAAAGTGATATGTGAGATTTTGAGGGGAAAAAAAATGAAGAAGGTGGTTTTATTGTTCCTAAATATCCAGGTAAACACTTGAAAATCAGTTTACCTTCTGGTCAGAAGTATGGAGCAGGTAGAAAAAAAGAAACTAGGGAACAAGTAGATTTGAGAAGTAAAAGGAAAAAAAAAGTACAAAGCAACTAAAGAATTATAAACAACATAGAGGCAGATAACCAAGATGTGACACTGTTCTAGGAGCCACTAAGTTCATGTAGCCAGTGCTGAAGGCTGAGGGGAGGTCCAGGTGGATAGGATCCAAATAAGACATTTCAAATTTCTTCTCATCTAAGATACACTACGAAGTTGGGATTATGGGGGAAAGAAAACTTAAATTAGTTTACGCTTTTAAAAAGTCTGCCTTTTGTTTAAAATTAGGTTGAGGTAAATATTTCCCTTAAGTCAGTAAGAAAGTGAAATCAGCAAGAAGATAAATCTTTAATAATTATTTTCAAACTGAGAAATAAGAGAAAAACAAGTTAAACTACAGTAACTCAGCTTAACAGTTTAAATTAATCCATTCCCCCCAGTTTTACAAGCAAAGATATACTGTTTTTAGATTAACTGTAATTTGTGTAAAAAAAATACTAAGTTATGAGAAAATATCATACATTTCCCTTTACCTGCCTATACATGTGTTCTGTGCTCTAGATCCCCAACTTCTCAACCTTTCTTCCCATGTAAACTTTTCATATTCGTACCTAAACTAACAGTTTTTCCAAATTGGAAAAAATTTCATTATTTAACGCTCATTGTTTTAATTGTAAGCAAAGAGCTCAAATTCATTTTTATCTCTATAATCACAATATATTCCGATACAAAAACAAAGGATTACTTTCTCCTACGGAACTTTAGATTTTATAGCTTAAAATCTTCAGTATGTTCCTCATTAAAATTCAGTGTAATTTAGAGAGACGAACTTACCTTCTTTGGGTGGTTTTTCTAATTTGCACCATGGCACCAGATAAGTAATTTCACTCTCTTGTTTATCAGTAAGACCCATAATTGGAATGAGTAATTGTTCTCGCCATTCCTTATCATTGGCCAAGGCTTTCCGAACTTCAGTTTGATGAGCAAAATTGTCTATGGGAATAACAGGAATAAGAAAAATAAAATTTTTTGATTTAAAATCACCTGTACACCTTTAACATATAATATTGTATATCAACTATACATCAATAAAAAAATAAAATCACCTGTACTATTTCTGGGTTTCATTCAATTTAGCAAATGTTTATTGAGGCCACATAAGGACAATATGTTATATCACTAGAGATACCAACATAAGTAGTTAGTTGCTCATGGTCTAAAAGGGGAGTGGCAATGTAAACAACCAATGATGTCATATAGTAATGGGCTTCATAGGTGCTACCATTTAGTAGGTAGTTGTGAGACTTAGGTAAGTTATTGAATCATTCTGTGCCTGTCTCTTATTCTGTGAAACAGGGATAATGATATAGTATCTACCTCCAGGGCTGTTGTGAGGATTAAAAGAATTGGTACATGAAAGGAACTTAGAACAATGTTTGGCACCAAGTGAGTACTCCATATATATTATTTATTCTTATTACTTGAGGCATTTAAGTTATAGTGTTAGTTTAGAGAAAGACTGTTTCTTCTGTAGTGCTGGTGGTGGGTAGTCAGGTCAAGGTACAACTGAACTAAATTTAACATAAATGAAATTAAGATTTGCTTTTTCAGCCTCTTTGAACAAACAGCTTCCAAAGAAACAGTGCTAATTCTTACTTACTGACACCCATTCTTTTTACCCAGTACTGTTTCTCTTCTGTTTGTTACCCAAACAGGTATATACATTTAATAACACATAGGCCTAGTACTATATTTATTATTAGGGCCTAAGGTTAATGGTAAAAGAGTTTTCTATGGTTTATGCTAGAGATAAGGAGTAACATCTATCTTAGAGCTTAAGTAAGTTATATCACGATCTTACTAGTAATTTTCTTAATGGGACATAATTCTCCTTGTTGCACATTAAAGCATAAATTGTGTTTTAATGGGGTTTGTCCTATTACAACAGGGAAATCCTCTAAACTATAGCCATGTTAAATATAGAATGAGCACTTTTCACAATAACGTATGTGGTGAATATTAACTTTGGACACTATTATGACTCTTAACTTGATGACCAGACACTAAATGAAATTATTAAAAGTTCTCTGGATATCATCAAGTCCTTTGTGGACTTCAGAAAGATTAGACACTGGAGTAACAATCTGGGGATTCCTGTAACCTGTTCTTCGTTGTCTACTAAACCAGCAGTAAGTCAACTTCAATATGGGGAGAATTCTAATTCCTTTGCCTTTACTTCCCTAGAGCAGCGTAATGATAGTGAATTCCCTGAAACCCTGGGGTATACAAACAAAAGTGGTTCCCTAAATTTAACAAATTATTCAGTCTGAGTTGGGTGAGGCCTGGAAGTTAACTATTATCCCCATGAACCTCAACTAACCTAAATTAGAAAGATTGAATTGTTTCTACTAAAATCCTGATATCCAGTTGCAGATTCAACAATAAGAAAAAATAACTCTCCCTTTTATGATCTCTGCCCACTTGGACTCTTGCAGTCAATGCTTTAAATTTTTCATAAATGATCTATACAATAAACCATTCTATGTTCTTCCTGAGCATTAAAGGCTAGTTCACAATTTCATGATTTGAAATATGAGATGTCACACTTTCCCAATGATGATACATAGGAATTTGGGCAAAAGTTGTTAGAGGTACCAGTGGGAGGAGTAATCACTGAATTCATTTTTTGTTGTTGTATTTGTTGTTCCTCTCTTTAAAAGTTGAATTTAACCTGTGTGTATTTATAGTAACATAGACCCAAGAGGTAAGTGTCATGTAACATTTAAAAGAGTGAAAATCTATACTGAATACTTAAGCTGGAAAAATCATACCATACTTCCAAATATGAAACACTTTATCGATCCTGCCTCCAAATTCTACACTCCAGAATCCAACCAATTCAGAGTGAGCTGTCTGAAGATGTATGTTTTTCTTAACATTTTCCAGAAACTCATTCATCTTTGAAGGTTTAACACAATAAGTACGAAACTCATAGAATGTTCCATCGTATTGCCTGGGGCCTGTAGCAAAAGATGAACACACCTGAAGAAACATAAGGCAAATTTAAGTATCTGGGGACCTTAAGGCATATAATATGTTACAACCAAATCTGAATCTGCAAAGAAGGGACACTCATTAGACTCATACTCCCATGTTTGTACCTCTGTTGTCATCTCTCCTTAGAATTTGCTGAGAGATGTTAATAATTACTCTTAAGTGTGCTGAATATACAGCTACTGCTTCCTAGCAGGGGTCCCTTAGCCACCTTTTCATGAAAAGTTAATCATAAGAAGGCACTAGGGTCTTAATGAGAGTCCTTTATCCAAGAACTACAACTAGGATTCTAACTAATTACAAATGGTTTACCTTATTTATCCAATATTCTATCTTTAGTCAATACTATATGTGCTACAGTTATATATTTAAATGAACTTTATAAAATATACAGGTGTTCTGGCAGTAATGATGGAAATACGTTTACTTGCAGAAAGATCTTTAGGTTTTTTTTAAAAAATGTAAGTTTCAATTCAGGTCAAAGTATTTTCCAAATTCAATGAAGTACATCACTGGTAAATGATAGAACTGGGATGTAACTAATGATAAAGGGAATCCATAATCTATTAAACTGCACTGTAACATGGTGGTAGACTGTATGAATTCTATAAAGGAAAAATCAACAGGTCAGAACTGTCTGAATCATTATTAGGTTTAATTATAGATGCAGTGTGAGAAGGGCATTTAATCCATCCAATTAACTAGGTTGATGGAAATATCCTTTAAGAACTATTAGTTCTTTTTGTATTAGAGGTATGGTCACTATATAAATTTTTGCTGTGTTTAATCTTGAGTCTGAGTGAACTTAACTTTAGGTGGGAAATTACCTGCCAGAAATTATCCCCTGTGAATGCAAATATGTGTGTATGTAAATACGTATATGCACACGTGTATACACACACACTCATATGGCATTTGTGTTTACAATTTCATGTTATTGTAGTTTTGGATATCATGTGCCAATTCCTGAAGCTGATTAATCAGAATTATCTAATACAAATGTCGGTACGAACAAAGCTATGGACAAATTTGGGGCTTATGTTGACCAGCTGGTATGTCAAATGAAACCAGTAGGCTCCTTTCTCTGACATATTTTTGGTTATAACACACAATTGCCTATGTATGTGATTTAATTGTGCATAATGTCATATTTATAATTATCTACTTGAGTTCATTCCACTCATGTCCCCTATGAGTTATATTCCTATTGCCCAAGTGTCTAAGCTTACAGTGAAAGCAGGTATTCCCACCAAAAACAACTGCGGCTACGCCTGCTTTTGGTGGACATGTTTTTTTGTGTCATTTTAACCAAATTCTAATAAGACAATATTACACAAATAAACAACTGCCTGGTATAATAGTTTAATAAGTATTATAAATAAAATATATCAGAAAATGAGCCAGTGGGGTATTTGTAACAGTTGCTTTTTTAGTTGATTTTTCAGGAATTTGTATTGATACTTGGAAACAAGTATGTGGTCAAGGCACATAATTTTGTTATCTTTCACAAGAGAAAGAAACAAGTAACAAAGGAAGCCCAGGGAAAGGTTAAACAGCAGCTGAGATAAGTATGTGTTGTGCTCCGGGGAGGTGATTTTTGTTGCAGGGCAGAAACTAGAACTGTGCTGGGAGAAGAATCATGAGTACTTCAAGCTCCCTTATATTCATGTCAGGGCTCATTTTCAGCAGCAATAACTTCCAAGTCACCTATAAGAGAGCATTTGATCGACATTTAGTAGAGTCAAAGTTCAGAATAAAGTTGTAAGGAATAATTTTGGCCCTGCTCCGGTAGAGAGAATCAGTATAAAGGCTGTACTGATAATTTTGAGTGAAGGGGCCATTATGGCTCCTCTTTAGTCTTTACAGGAAGTCAGTCTCTATGTAAATCCCCTTCTTGTCCTATTGCTTGAGAAAGGAGTACAAACCTAAACATCAAAAAACAACAACAAAACATCTCTAGCTTAGAGTCACAGAACAGGACAATCCACGACAGTTAAGGCCGAATCACAGAAGTCTATTTTGTACATTTCTCATTTAACTTTTAAAATTTATTTAATTCTTATTATTTTTTATGTCAATGCCAATCTCCCAATTCATTATTTCTCATTTAACTTTAATGAGGTTGTCATCATCATATTTTCTAGGAAGTTCCCGACCCTGCGTGACTTGGGCACTGACTGCAGGAGACAGTGGCAGCTGGGCAGATGCTGCACCACCTGTACCCTGGGCCCCTCTCTGAGGTTCTCGGCAAAATGCTCAGGAGTTTTATTTCATGTATAAGGGGGAGGCCCGTTCTCTTGCTAGCGTCAGGTTGACCTTTTTCTCCTTCACCCTTCAGTCTAGAGGGGCTTGTGGCTTGCCAAAAGTCAGTAGAAGAGGCTGGACCGGTGCCTGGCACAGGGACCAGCGCCTGGCACAGGGACCAGCGCGGCGAGCCCAAAGGCGCGGGGCGGCAAGAACGCAGCAGCTGGCGCTTCAGGGGTGGCCTCAGGGCCGCCGGGCACCCAGGCTAGAAAACAACCCCATCCATGGTTGTTCCCGAGCCGGCCGTAGGCGACACAGGCAGCCGGTCTTCCCCTAAGGGCACCCTTTCTCCTCCTGCGCGTTCCAGGGTCCTCGCTTCCAGGTGCTGGGACTTGCTCTACAAGTAGGCAGCAGCACAAGGCTCCCAGGTCAGGGAGCGCGAGCCGGGTGGTGCGCCTCCCGGGCCCTCCCCTCCCCTCCCCGGGGCGGGTACCTGAGGCGCCAGGGTCCGAGCGGCCAGAGCCTTAGTCAGGCTCTTTCCGAGGGCAAGCATGGCGCGGCTTCGAACGCCGAGAAGCGCCGCGGCCGGGATTCTTCCTTAAACTCCTCCTCCTGTGGCTTCCCGACTAGCAGGGAGCGGCACCTGCACAACTGCCGGACGCAGGCTCGGGGCGGGGATCCGCGGGTCAGCTCCGCCTCACGCCCGGGGTTGGGGCGCGGCCGGAGAACTCAGTGCGTAAGGCGTCCGCCTGGGGCCGGCTCCAGACGCCTTTGGTGTCACCCTTCGCCCTTCCTGGCTCCTTTGTTTCCCCAAAAGTTCCCACACCCATCGTCGAGTGATATTAGAATTAGCTGAATGCTGAGGTCGTTCCTGTACCACCTGTCTGGACACATCGCCTCATCTCCAAGAGCTCTTGCATACAATCAGTAAAAGTTCGTGTGTAGAATGAGAGTGTGTATGATCATTGGGAAGGCAGTATGGATGCGTGTGTGCGTCATGCTTTGCATTTTAAATCGCGGACGTGTTTGCAGCGGTCAGTTTTAGTCGGGTGATTCACGTGTAGCTAAAGACTAGTGATTCTTCCCTTTTGTTCATTAAGTGCATTTTCTCTCCCTATTGCCACCCCCAGTATGACCTTGTAAGGCTCCTAATAGTGATTGTATTTCTCAGGAGCTCAGAGAAATGGGGGCCCCGAACTAGATTCGAAAATTCAAATTTAAATATATATAGCTTGAATCAAATAGTTTTTAAACCTTAAAAGCGAAACAGCAGACCTCTGATCTTGTCCTTCTTATTCCTGAAATTGGTCCCCAGAGTAGTTAACTTTCAACATTTTCAGCTGTTTCTTGTAGAGCTTGTTTATTATTATGTAAATGTCATTATATGCCTTTTCTGGTGTTTCTTGATATTTTCAGTTATAGATAGATAGTGTCTGTTGCTTGGAAAATGAGGATTTAGGTCTGTTACATACCACTACCCCAAAATACACTTCCTTTCCTGCATCTGATAATGCTTACATTAAGAATAGTTAATTGAAAAAAAAAAAAAAAAAAAAAAAAAAAAAAAGAATAGTTAATTGAAACGTTATTAATTTGATTATATTGATGTTTACATAATTACTAATTACATTACCTTCTGAACATATAAATACACTAACTAAATCCAATTACACAATCATTACATTCATGCACACATTGAAGTAATATTGCTTATACTGTTAAGACTAGGGAATTATTACAAGGCTGTTGTCTGTGGTTGTATTGGTTGTGCCTTTGCAAAGAGTTTCGAATCATCTGTTGAGAGGAAGGGAGGCTTTTTAAAGTTAGTAATTCCAGAGGGTGATGAGTCAGTTTTTCTAGTGGATGGGCGTCCATTTCTAACCAAGCAAGACAAAAAAGCATCATCTGTGCCTGGACTGGATCGTTATGTCTAAGTTTATTTTCTGAGGCTTTTCCCCCCTAGAATTAACAATTCATTCCCTCATTCAACCCATATTAATTAAACTCCTTTATGCTTCAGGCACTTTTCCAAAAACTGGGGTGCAGAGGTGAACAAAAGTCAAAGTTCGTGTTCTCTTGGAGCTTCTAGGTTAGTGGAAACAAAAACAAATGAAGGAAAAATATGTCAAGGCTTAATAAATATGATGAGTAAAAACAAGTAGGATATGGAGAATAGAAAGTGCTGGAGGGAGGTAGCTGAGACTGCTAGCTATTTCCCGATAGCCATTCTTTTCCCACCCCACCTTTTTTGAAAATTAGCAATAGAACCCTTGCAGCTTGGTGCAGCCATGTGACTAAGTCCTGGCCAGTGGGATGTGTTAATGCATTTATGACCTACTCTAAGTGGTCTTAAAGCAGTGCAGGAGCAGTTCTTGCCCTCTTTGTTTCTTTCTTATTTCTACTTGCTGGAATTTGGAGTAATGGCTTGAGTTCTTGGACTATGAGGTAGAAACCACATGCTGAAGATGGCAGAACAAGAGAGAAGCAGCCAGGGTTCTGACACCATGGAGCACCATACTAGGAGCCCTGAACTGCCTATCTCTGGACTTCTTTTTTACAAGAGAAAATTTTTCTAGTGTAAGCCACTGCTTTGTGGCTTAAACCTATGATCTTAATCAATAGGAGAGTGACTATTTCTTTTTCATTTGTTTCTGTTATTTTCATTATACCCATCACTATTAATCACCAAATTCTTTGCCTAAATAAATTTCCTCTCAATATAATTAAACCCATTAATCAGCTTATTAGTTTCATCTTCTGGCATTATCTTTCGGGGGTCCTTTGTTCTCTTGCTCCAGTGTGGGCTAATTGTTTTTTAAGACAGCATGGTAGTAATTCTGGGATCTCCTCTCACTGATATCCTGGGGGATCTCATTTGCCTTGTGTTGGACCTCCTGTTGCCAGGATTTGGTAGCTTTTTTTTTCGAGACTTGAATTTCTAAAAATGTTTTATTCTACCAAACCTCTTGATTCATATGTTGGTTGGGCATAAAATTCTACATTGGAAATAATGTTTCCTTATAATTTCAAAGGTAATTACGTTTCTTTAAAATAAGAGCTCATCTCTTCATCAGTGTAACTCCAATGAACGAAAGAATTCACGAGGCATAGTCCACGGTGCTGCTCCCTGAAAACCTTTCGTAACCATAAAGAATGATGCTTCGAGGTCTATTCTGATACTTCATAGGTGTTCAGAATAAGTTGCTGGGGCTCTCCTTGGCTTGCCCTAATGGCCCTGCTGAGAGCAGAGTGGACCAGACCTTGGTGGCTGGCTGATGGCAGAGCCTGGGCCCTGTGGGCAGAGTCTGATCACACTGTGGTACATGTTTGAGGGACATATGTCATTGTTGTCCTTGATTTGTTTTCTGTCCCAATTCTGCCCCATAAAGACACATGTGCTCGGTTTACGTTGAATTTAAAAAGCTTCCAGCTTAGTCATATCTCATTAAATAAGGTTGTTTTTAATTAGTTTAATCCAAAGAGTGAGTCTCATATCTTAGTTACACTTTTCTCCCAAATCAGATTCATAAAGGGTCTTACGGATTTAAGGACAGTTTCTCAGGCTTTTTACATGGACCCACGAAGGACTTGGATGGAAGAAGTGGTACTAAAACCATTTACTTCCACTGCTTTTCAACTCATTTGTCCCTCTGAGTTTTGAAGGAATAGGTGGTACTCAGAAGAAAAGAAGGAAGAATCGTTGAAATCTTCATACCTTCAGGAAAATGAGATAACTTACATGGCTGCCTCACAACATAGCTCTCTGAGCAGTGTAGTCTGGGACATCTACAGTGGCCCTCATGCTGGGAGAGAGCCAAGGCCTGTGTGTAAGGCCTTCAGGTCTTTCTGGTCAGTGTCCCTCACTGCTCGTACGGACTCCCCATTCGTTTACCCTGCGATCCAAGTTCAGGCCTGAGCCACCATAGTTGGAGCAGCATCTGTGAGATGAATGAGTATTCTTTCTTTAACATCTCAGATGTCTAACTTTGTCTATAATCAAGCCCAGGCTCCTCCCCTTCCCCATTTAGCTTCTGTTAGCCCCCTGGGCAGAAATAATTTAAGAGGTTGCCAGAATCCAACAGAGGAGATTGAGCTATAACTTTCACCAAATCTAACTTTAGACTTCTTTTAAAGAGGGAATTCATCTAAATGAAGCATGTACAGACTCATGCTGTATCTGCTACAAAGCGATACTGTGTTCATATTCTCAGTGTTCTAATGTCAGGCTGTACTTTTAGGTATGGTAGGTTTCTCGGGGTGCCAGTGCTTCTCAATCATGTCCTCCAAGTCAAAGTTAAGGATGCCATCAAGCAAGTGAAGGAACACTTGAAGCTCGGCAAGTAACAGTATCCATCCCAAAACATGTCAGAAAAAGGGGCCCAGAGTAGTTGGTACATGGGAGTAGTTGGCAGATAAACATGGTCACCTAACAGTTTATTGTTTAAGACTTTTAAATACAAAGCCATCACTGGCGTTTAGTGATCTTTTGCCAGTCAAGACTGAGCTCCAGTTAATACTTGAAAGTGTAGATCCTATATGTGGAGCATGGCAATTATTGTTTCTGCTTATCTCCTACAGAATAATTATATAGGTCAATGGAAATTTTATATGACCCTGTATAAAGGGTGTATAAGACCGTTCTTATAACAAGAATCTGTTAGAATTTTTGTTTCTGTTAGATTAATATGCTATACATTGTTTTTTTCCAATTTATTTACAGCCAGAAGAATTTAACTTATTTGAGTAATTTCACACTAATATTTCTGCATTTATTAAGTTTTCAAACCAAAGCAGTCCTTTGTGTGTGTGAGAATTTACAACCTGCTGCTCTTATAATGTCAAAAACAGTGAAGCAGAGTGAACCCCATTAGGCCACTCTCAGACCTCTTTCTTTTTTTTTTTAATAATTAAATTAAATTCCATTTATTTATTTTATTTTGGGCCAGGCCTTCCCTGACCAGGGATTGAACCCAGGCCCCCTGCAGTGGAAGCATAGAGTGCTAACCACTGGACTGCCAGGAAATTCCCTCTCCGACCTCTTTCAATAGTTTCATTTTGGTACTGGGCTCTTTCACGAACTCAGAGAAATCAGTTCCGCATTTGAACTGTCAGGTTATTGACCTGAAAATGATGTTTTAACTCTGAATAAAATAATTTTATTTTATTTATTGAGCCGGTGTTCTTCCCTGGGCTATTCTTCAGATATTGCGTGTGTGCATGTGTGTGTCCGCCTTGATTGAGTCCTCAGTTGCATCAATGAACACTCAGATTCTCACTGACTTTCTCTTTGCAAGAAGAACATGTTAGTGGACATAATTACGTCCGTCTGTGTCATCTCTGCGATGTCCTCTGTCCCGGCCAGCTTTGTCGTGTTCCTGATCCAGGGGTGTGTCAGCAAATAGAAGCACCTGCAGTTCATAAGCAGAGTGAAGCCCATCATTCTACTGGCTCTCCAATTCTGTCTAGGACATGGTAAGAATGCTGGTCTGCCGCTGCTTTATAAACCTCCATCAGGGCTCTGGATTGGATGGATGAAAGGGCCCCTGGCCATCACCAGGAAATGTTCTAGC